TAATCGCTTTGTGGCAACGACGTCGGAATAGACACGTGGCTGACAAAAGAAATTCTTTTCTCACCATAATTTATTTTCTGCGAAGGACCATCCGAGGAAAACACGCAACCACACGTAATTCGAAAGTCATAATATAGTAAACTTCGAAATGAATTTCTTCACGTATCAGCATTTTGCGCCAAACGTATTCTATAAAAATGGTGAAATTTAGAACGTAATAATACAGTCTCTATAACAATTAACTCCGTTATCAGCATTTGACGTTCCGTTTCTATTTTTATTTTTACAATCGTAGTCTTTCGTCGCTGCGAAATATTATGATTATTCGCACTTGGGAGATACGTCGCGTAGCGTAACGTAAAAGCGACAAAGTTTTGAGTTATAATGTGACGAAACTTATACACGGCCTAATTATCTATGTAATACCCCTAATTGTCTCGCTGTAAGGAATTGTTAGTTTGCTTGCTTCAAACGAGGCCGTATTCATTAACTTTTTATCTGCGTAATCATCGGAATTTACCTTTGCGCCATGGCACAACGGAAATGCGAATTCATCGGGGAAACCATTCATTAAAAAAAAAAAAAGAAAAACGCATGCCGTTAATTACGTCGATATCTCGTCAATTTGCACCGTCGTTCCTAGAACACAGTGTTCTCGTGTAACACATCGTCCAGAGTCTGAGATGGCTACATAAATTTCTCGAAAAAAAATATATCCAGATTGCTCAAATAAAAATATATTACGTAAATTTTGTAACTTTTTCGCGAATTCGTAAAATATGAACTTACAGCAATCCAAAACAGATAAACGTACCAAATTCTTTTTTCTCGTTTACTTTCTTATACGTAATTCAAAACGTTCGCGCTGCCCCTTATATCTTTATTACTTTATTTTGCGGTCGAAATAAAGCACATCGTCGTATCTTCACGCGAGCAAACGGTAATTATTACGATCGTCCGACCGATCGGTCGAAAGATTAAAATTCCCGCGCCACCGAAGCGCGTTCCCGCGCGCTTATTTTCTGGCAAAAATAACGAAAACGGTTTCTTTCATTAAAGAGGCGGCGGCGGAATCAAAAGTTCCTTCGTTAAAATGCGTATCGGCCGATTGCGGTTATACGTTCGCGTACACAAACAACGTCCGTTTAATGCTAATTATCATTATTCGGCTACACGGAATAGCCACACGATAACTATTTTCAAATGAAATAGCCGATTTCCTACAACGGTAATAAAGCGAAATTTCAAATTACTATTCCCGGTTGATTTGCCTATTGTTAGAATTAGTGTCAAAGTTATTAAACAGACAACAATGTGTACAAAGATATTAAAAATTTATGTCAAGACACACGTTTTATCCGATAGACGCAACTGACGTTTTTCGTGTGAAGTGTAAAGGAGAAAATTGTATACGAAAGTCGATAAGCGCGCTGCCAATAGCAAACGGCGCAAAGTGCAGATGACGTTCGTTAAGTTAAGGTATAACATTGCGGCTTTATTCTGCCATCCACGCGCACGATATAACTATGCGACGCGATAAGTTCATCGTGCAATTAAGTTTATTTATTAATCGGAGCGTGAGAAATGAGAGTAATACACAGTGTTGTATTTTTAAATTAATATATATATATATATATAATTCTTAATCACGTGGATTTTGCGGAGGGATTTTGATGATGGGGGCAAAGTTGGAGATGGAATTGGGGCGGAGGACAAAGAATCTAAGAAGTGTACAATATACAATACAAGTCACGGAATATTACGATTCTCGTGTTTAAGAAGTTAAATCCGCTTTACCATATCTGGACCGCTCGTTCTTCCTTTCGTTTCTTTGTCGGTTTCTCCGTGATCGTTTTCTTTTCTTTTTTTTTTTTTTATTGCTTTTTCCATTTTCTCGTCGATGATGCTCGCGTCGCTTCGAGCACAAGACCGTGCGTACGCTCCGAAGGAAGCCACGAAAATTATGCGAGGAATTGAGCAAATTCCCGAAGATACAAGGGAACTGAGACGCGATTTCGATCGGGCGAGTCTTTGACTGTGTATAGCTGCGTGTCTTGAAATTCTGACGGACAACGGGGACTTGTCGATCATACGCGATCGAATTAAATTGAAGGAGCAGATGGACGAAGAAAATATTTCGACATAATGACGCCTCGTGACAGGTTTCAGCGTATTTAAATTAGAATACATTCGCATTAATGTGATTTTAATATTGTACATGGACTCCGTTCGTGTCCACAGGCTAACTGCACTAAGAACCATCACAGCACTAAATTGATAATACATTTTACTTACTGATACGTATGATACAATAGAGAATAATATTTATCCATACAAATAACTTAACGTGCGTAAGAATGTGACACAAGCCTTCTTCATCCACTTGCCTGTTCAATTGCATATCTGTACATAATATCGATCAGTTTCTACTTTTCCGCACCGGAACATTGGCTCGTTTTCATACTGTACGTTTAGCGCTAAATATGGCATTTCCCATTTCGCGCATATCGATTGAGTTTTTCATGTAAGTGAAATTCGAGACCGAGGGAAATCATATTTAGCGCTGAATATAAACAAGTTGGAAATAAAGTAAATATATATGTACAACGTTCGCCAGTCGTATCTGAACAGGATTCATTAAAATCAACACGCGTAAACGAATTATGGGTTTTGCGTAATCAGTAACAAGTAAATAAAGTAATAAAGATTTACGGAAAATATTTATCTTGCCATTTTTTTTTAAGGCGACTTTGTTATATCACCATGACAAAAGTTCTCCGATCGACATATTAATTAAATGAAAAAAAAATCTATATGCCGTTCCGTTGACCAGATTTTAGAACAAGCTTCTCGCTTAAAGTCATCGTGAATGAACGACAATCGTCGGACCCGTTCGACAACACGATTCTAAAATGACCTCCGATTTCCGAACGATTCATTTTGAATCGCTCGAAAATTTCTCATCGCGCGAATTTTGCACTGAAAATCAAAGTGCCTGCCAATAGTGATTTTTATACTTATGGAAGTCTTCACCGACCGCAAAAGTTTAGAACAGCCGAACCGATTAGTTTCATCCGCGACAGCTCTGCTCGATTATTGCTTTCAGATTTCAGAACACTTTGCTCCCTTGATAATCGATTCGGATGTATAGACATATTACAACGACGATACTAGTCCGCTTAACGGGTATCGCAAAATGGAGCAAAGCTGATTAGGCCTTTCCAAAGTCGATGTGCGTCTCTCGTTTTAGTCGATATATTCGAATGCAGATGTTCAATAATCAAAATGTCATATCACATTCTATTTATGTTTTTGTATCATGTTTCTATAAAACCGAAATCAATGTCAACTGACTATCTAAATATATATTATATTAAATATATATTTAATTTCGTATACTGTATATATTTAATATATGTATATTAAAAGTTAATACGCACTCTAAGAATTAAGTTTGAAAAATACTTAAAAATTCTCTTAATAAATACTATATAAATATCAGTCGTGTGAAATTGATTATTTTTATATGTTTATTAAATATAATATATCATAATTCAGTAGTAATATTTGATATTGTAAACTAATTTATTTCATACAGTCGTTGAAGACTTACCTTTTTGCAATTATCGAATAACGGCAACAAATTATTTGAAACGAGAGATCAACTTGAAAGTTCCATTAGTGCCTTTCTCGATACTCGATTTTACGATACCCGACGGCAGGATCAAAAACGCGTAGGAAATGTAACGGCGATTAGTCGAATTACGATAAAATGGCTTAGAAGAATACGAGTAAGAAGCCGATCATCGATTGCACAACGAGATGATCGATGTTAGACGCCAAGGTGTATTGCGTCAGGTAACGAATCGATCTTTCGATTGTCGCTGCGGCTGTGTGCAACGTGCGGACGTGCAGCGCATTCGTATTATCGCACTGCGTGCAAACGATAACGGCCTCCCATTCTCGGACATCACGGGAGAATCCCATTCTCAGAGACGTTCCCTTAAAAAAAAAAAAGAGAGAGAAAAAAAAGCAACACCATGTTACGTTCTCTCGCGGACATTGCGCGATTTCGCCTTAATAAATCACCGTTATCTTTCATCCAAGACGTCAGGTTTTTCTCTTTAGACCGCCTCTATTGTGTTACGTGCAGCATTCGCGATAGCGAATCCCTCTGCTCCCTAAAGTGACTCGCGTGAGCTGATTGCGAATTACTCGACGTTTTTATTACACGTTTAATAATTATTTACACCGATCACCGCTATTTATACAAATTACAGATCGGCTCGGATTTTTCGCCGGCGTTTATTCCGATCGCTTGCTGTAATTCGGTAAATCGAGTCTTGAGCAACTACTGTAAAATAAAATCTCAATTTGTGTCTCATATTCTTCAAATTAAAAAAATTTCTTTAAATAAATGTAACTTGTAACGTTATGTGTAATGTTTGACAACAATAAAATATTATTTTTAACAAGCTGTTTCTCAATAATTATAAAACAGAAAAACATCGATAATTATAAAAGCCCGCATATTTCAATCTACCGATAAAAGGGACGACGAGCTTCCTTCTCATAAAAGAAACTGAACAAACAAAAGAAATAAAAAGATATATTTGCGATTCGTGACGTCCGAGGAAACAAATGAAAAACTGGCCGCCTATACCAGTTTATTTCACCGACGTCACGGCTTTATCTTTCGGTCAAAGGACGCGAGTCATCGGGCGATGCCAACGTGGAATTTCGAAAACGAAAGGATTCGAGAGTGGCACTATTCCTCGGTGAACCAATCAGCGATTTATGCCACGTCGCGCTATTTTTCTCTATGGATCGCGTCGATTCGGGCCCAAAGATTCTTCGGATTTGGAATTCCTTTTTTTTTTTCTTTGCGTTTTTCAGGCATAAATCGAGCGTCGTGCGTTTATGCGTTTACGTCTCTCTAATCGTTATAATATAGTATTTAATAATTAGTACAGAGAGATGTTATTTAGGAGGTGCTCTTATATTGCAATATCGTTCTCTGTTTTGTTCCTTTAAGACTTAACGTACACAGGTAGAACGTAGACTCACACGGGACACAACAGGTACGCGCTCGTAGACTCTTCCCCCCTCTCTCTCTCTCTCTCTCTCTTATACACACACACACACATTCATTTTCTTCTATCACATTCATTCTCGGATCTCATCTAATTTACATCAATGCGCGATCGGCGCAGCATTCGTGGAGAGTCCAACGCATTCCGCCTCGCGGTCCTAACAGAGACGTATATATACCCTCCTAATGCGCGCGACATCGTATTCTCACGTAGGTTTATTTACAGATACAGGAAACACGCGGGACTCCTTGTACAGTCCCGAAAGCACGAAGGGCGCTGCACTCGCTCGCGTGAACGATTTTTCGAGTCGCGGCGCCACTCCGGAAATAAAATTGCACTTTGTAGTATAAGAGTCTGGCCTCCCTCGCTCCCGTCTGGTACGGCCAGGATCCCCGAATAGGACGAGAAAGAGGCAGGGAGAACCGAATGCCGGACGAGCCAACGTTCCCGCCGCTACGATGGCTCCGATGTGGAGTCCGGCTCCCTCTCGTCGGCGGAAAGGTCCTCCGGGTCGCCGGCGGATTCATCGGCGCAATCCTCGTTCTCATCTTCGTCAGGGTCATCGTCCTTGGTGCTGCTTACAGGTTCGTTCTCCTGTCACGGACTCCCTCCGCCAGCGTCGTCGCCCCGATGTCCGGGCGTCAGACTCGGACTTCTCCTTCTCTTCTCCTGCAGCCCGTTCACCATGTTCTCGATGGATTTGAGCTCGCCGGCGGAACTGGGCGTCGTCGAGATGAGAGCACCGCCACCGGTGGGCGTCGGCGAATCGGTCGGCGGCCTCGGCGGCGGTGATCTTGGACTTAGGGTTCTGCTACCGGGGGTTACGGTCTCGAAGGCCGAGCCATGCGAGGGCGCCGGGAGGGTATAGGGCGCGAATCTGTGCCCCTTGAGCTGATGCAGCGGACTCGCCAGGGGATGGGGATAGTGTGCGAAGAGCGGATGCTGGGCCGCCAAGGCCAGCTGGGCGTTGAACAGCATACCGGGCGTGACACCGCCGTGGAGGCCGAGAGGAGTGGGTGGTATCAGGTGACCGGGACCGGGATAGAGTCCGGGCACTGGCGGGTACAGATACGGCAAAAGAGGCGGATGAAGCGGTGGCCCGACAGAGACATCCGGCCGTGGACCTTCGGACCCCGTTGGGCCTGGCCCACCACCGCTCTCGGACCCGGACGATTCGCTGCCCTCGCCTCGTTCGCTCGTCCGATCGTCTCTCTCGCGAGAGTGCTCCCGTTCCCGATGGTGATGGGCTGGGTGCGGCGTATCGGGTCCAACCACATCCAGCAGCTTGTCCTCGTCGTCCATGAGGTCGGTGGCAGAGTTCGACGAACGCCGCTTGTCCGGAGATGCTGGTCCACCCGCTGTCAAACGGGAACCGCCGCCCGATACTGTCATTAGCGCCTGCCTTCTGCAACAACGACGCAGAGTTAGCAATCTGGTGAGATTCGCGTGCTACGTTTATTTTGCGCTCTTAATCGCTTCTCCCGGGAAATCTTCGTGAAAAATATAAGTCGTATACGTTAAGACAAATAAACTTGGACATTTTGTCGCGGCGTTGCGTTACGAAGAAACCTCATTGCCTTCGCGTTTCTATAATAGTAGATTGATTATTGATTTATGGAAAGGCGTGGTTAGCGAGTTATCAATCGTCAGTAGAGCTACACGCGGCCACCAGGTAAATGGGTTCCGCCTATTCCGATATATGATTTATCGACGTTCGCAAGCTGACAATCTTTTGAGACGCGCGAATGCCTATTGATTACGGCACACTATAATTGGTTCGGAGAGTATAACGAGAGGGCCGGTGATAAAGTTACTTCCCTTTCTTGGCAGTGGCAATTTCGACGCTAAATCGTTCACGCTGGATCTCTCGTTGTGGTTTTGTTAGCATACCGTATGCGTGTGTCTCAATCGAAAAATTGCGAAGATGACGAGAGCGGTAAAGAGGATCCTCCTTATCCGGAAGATTGCGAAAGCCAATCGGCGATTTCTATCTATATTAGCGCAATATCTCGAGGATATGTACTAATTGATTTATTGGCGAATTAATATTCAGCATAAAGAAAAAAGAGCTGAAATTGCAAATAGTCGCTGTAACGTTTATTCTGAAAAAATTACATGAAGTTAATGCAACCGTATGAAGAAGTATAACAATAATAATTGATCACATACATATGCATGTATATCGATATTAATTAATAATAATTAGAAAGGAGGACTATAGTGAGAGAGTCAAACGAGGTTCTCGGTGCATAAAATAAAACCATTAACACAGTTAATTTGTGATTCAAATTATGTATCTTTACCTATGACGTTAATTTTATTTAATTTCCACTACCTCTTCTTTTATTATCGCTTTTAAATTTGAGAATCACATTATTCTTTTATCAATATTAATCGTTTAGCAAGCTGTAATAATTTTAATTTGTAATATGAAACACAAAGATGTGATACAAGTTCTATCAAAGATAAACACGCGCGAGTTCTATCTATAAATATTAATGTGCGATTTCTTTGAAATTTTCACGCAGATTGTGCGTATATACTTAAATGTTATCTCAATCACGCATGATTCGTTGAATCTGTGAAAATTCTACAGCGCCTGTTATACTCACGCGAATGAAATATCGTAAACTCGACAACGGCGTGCATTGGGCCGTTGCGCGTGCGAGGAGAACAAGACGCGATCAATGCGATCGCGATTCCGGGAGACAGAGAGGTATTGTGTCGAGGAAAATCAAAAGGCCCCGACGCTGAGCGCGGCGCGCTTCGCTCGTCCGCGCGGTGATAATTTACGCGGCGCGGCGTCGGCGCGATGCAATAAACGCGAAGCCCAGGGATTTATGCGAGCGTCGGTAGCTGCATTGCCTCGAGGCGCGGCCGTGGTATTAGATTAATTATCTTAATTGCGCCTTCAACGCCTTTCCTATGCGGCAAGTGTCTAGAGTTCGCTCGCTCGCTCGCTCGCGCGTGCGTTGCCTTCACGTGCGCTTAACTTTATGCCACTCGCGGCTATTTGCACTTATAAACAGACGAGCGTGAGCTCGTGTGGTGCAATTCGCGCCTCTGTGTGCGTGGGTATTTACCGGCGGCTCGCATAAATGAGCGGCGTGTCGATAGAACCCTCAAGATATACGCGCGGCACGATTACATATTGCGCGACGCGGGGAACTTTTTTTTTTTTCCGTGAATCGCGAGCTTGTACATACATAGGTGTGCGGGAATCGAGAGTGATTTATCGCGCTGACGTCTGACCGCCTGCACACCCGAGAGTCCGAGTCACGATCATTTTTCATCGATGCCACAGCGATACCGTATCGATTCACGACACACTGATCTATTCGCTGATTCCCCAGGGCAACGTGTTTCTTTCGCCCGATCTTCGCGAGGCTCACGTAATCTTGGCACGATTTATCGAGCTGCGTTACACGGACTGGCCTTTTACATAAGAGAAATCGAGCGTGCCACGCGGATTTAATGATTTCTGATTAATTTACGTTAATGAATTCTTTTATCCGTTTAGCTCGTTTCTACGACTAATTAAAATACAGAAGCGAAGAAAGAAAAAGGATTGTCAATCGGTATTCAGTATATTAAGCGACATTGGCGCAACCAATCTCGGTGAACGCGAATAAAAGTTGAACTATATCTCTTGAAATGCCCACGGGATGCCCACGCCGTTGGAAAATCTCTCCGAACGTCCCCGAATGCTCTATAAGAAAGAGAGGACGGTATATGCGGACGTAACCCTATTTGTGCGAGAGCTCTCAGAGGACGAAGAGGGACCGTACCTCGCTCGAAAGTTCTACACGGAGTGTACGGATTATTGATTTCGCGTACTCTCGCACTTACGTACAGAGAAACCAGAGAGCCTGCACACCCTTTCAGGACTGCAACGAGTGCGTGTCACGGATGCATCCACCGAGAAGGAGCGTGCGCGCGAAGCGGCGCGGCTGCACCTCGGGCGAGCGAGCGAGCAAAGGCGCGCGTTTCTGTGTTGGTGAACTGATCGCATTACATGGTATTAAGACACCGGTAAGCCTCTCGTTGTGCGAACGGCTATAGCCGAGACTTACACGAGGTTTAGGTTTGTTCTGCCTGCACGAGACGATGCATTAGATTTACCCGAGCCCTCCCCCCCCCCTACCCCCCACCACATCGAGTTTCCTTTGCGTGATTAGGAGCGTTCCAGGAAATTTTGTTCGAGCCCGCGCTGAAAGGATCCGTGTGCGCCAATTAATTCTGTATTAGGTTGCGGAATCGAGTATTTCGATTTGGTGCGATTATGGGAGGAATTGCGGAGCTCGCGGAAAGCTTATAGCCTATATCGTCGTCTAAAAGAACGAGTTCGTGGGAACGATTAATCTTTCATTCATCAACACACACATAACATCGCAAATATATTATCGTTGTGATCGAGGAAGCTAGCAAATGACAGTTTGGCATAAATGAAAATAGAAATTGCGAGATATCAAACGGCAAGAAACACAACTGTTCGTTGCATCGCCAATAAATAAGTTAAGTATCTATTTAAATTGTTGGTTACATGTTATCCTTAGTGTTTTCAATATTATCCAGAACAGACAACACAAGATCAACAAGAATCGGGGATAAAGCCTATATAAAGCCGTAATCACCCTAGCGATTGCACGATTGAAGATTACTTTTCAACCAGTTAGAGCAAAGCAATCGGTAACTGCTTTGTTCTAATTGGTTGAAAAGTAATTCTCAATCGTCAATCACGATCGCGCAATCGCTAGGGTGATTACGGCTTAAGGCGGCTAGTCGAGCTATAATTATATGTATATATCTAATAAGAATGCTTTGCGGAAAAACGCACAGGAATCCCAACTGCTCTGCGGATAATTAAAAGTTGAATAAAATTCGCTGGCTTCATCTAGATATCTCGGCGCTGGTTTGCTCATTAACGCTCATGACGTTTGTGATATACCTGCAATAAGCGAGTACCGATCACGAAAGTTAACCCCGGAGACAATGGTTAACGTAACAGCTGTTAATTTAATACCTTGTGCTAAAATGCATCGCTATAGGAAATACGTATTGTTGTATGTACACGTATATTAACGCACGATCGTGGGAGTTTCACGAGCGAACGGGTTAATCCGCACACCACGCATATCGCAATACGATCTTTCCGCGGTGTGTACGATGATAAATGACGTGACAACGTGCCGCACTGGAGCGGTTCCTTCCTTCTCTTTCTCCCTCTCTTTCTTTTTTTCCTTTTTAAAGCGGCGTAGCGAATCAACTCGTCACGCTCGAGTGGCGTTACATCTCGTGACGAAACGCCGCGTCGCGCGTTGTTAAAAAATTAACGAAACAATGCGCCGGCTGTCAGTGTCGTTTAACTCTATCGCGGTATCGAGTGTAGTGATTTTATTTGAGTATATAGTCACGCAATACACTTTACATTTCTATACTATAATCGGGGAATGTTGCGCCTAAATTATCATGTAGCGATTGAATTCCGATGAGACTGACTTTGCTGTAGGTATACATTCGCGCGGTTACATCTTCGTCTAGTCTACTTGTTTTTTCTCGCGGCTCTTAATTAATCCCTCGCAAACTACTTTGAATTTTACCACTTAGACCACTTGAATCGCTGAGGAACGATTGTTTTTCGAAGGGCTTTAAAAAAATCTGAGAAAATTGTAGTCCCGCTCCCATACAGCACATATTTCCAACAAACGTTTTAAAGCTTTAAGAACGATTTTAGGATATTCCTCAGATAAAGTGTATTGTTCTTTCAATATTTAGCAACATGATTATACAATTATGTGACCTGAAGCGTTTTTTTAAGTCTTTTTATTGCAATTTGAGGCAGAAATAGTTTAAAGTTGAAAAATTGTCTAGGTCTTCAAATTCCTATGGGGTCTGCGAAAAATTTGTAATCCAATAAATTATAAAGAAGTCTATGCACAACCGAAGATATGAAAAAATAACTTACAGGATGAAGAAAAGAGATTTCGCGCTTTCATCAGAAGATCTACCGAAGCTGCTCTTGAAGCGCAGTCTTTATACAGCCACAAAACGATCTGTAGGGCCAATATAAAATTCAAAGCCGTCAAGAGTGGCACCCTCCACGTTAACGATAGCGCCGCCCCTGAGCATCAGTATGCTAATCCGATGATTGGCTATGTTCCAACCCCGATCCCTCTCTCTCACTATACCACTCTCTTTCTCTCGCGGTCTCTTTCTGTTGGTTTCCCTGCCAGTGCACTGTCTCTTTCTCTCTTTCCGGTTTCCCTGTGGCTTCCTGATGGCATCCAACCACCCTTAACCGAAACCATAAGCCAAAACTAACCCTTATTCTAATTAGGCGGTGCCGCGGCGACGCGCCCCCTGTTTTGCATATTTTCTCGATTAACCTGGCCCTTTCTTTATCCGCTCGACGTCGCAGACTGCCGCAATTTTCCGAAAATTTTCTGACCCGCGGCATCGTTCTTTTTTGTCTTCCCGCGTAACATAATACGTTTCTTGATACAAGATACACCGCGACACCACAAACAGAATATTCTTTTCCGTTTAAAAAATTATGAGAGCTTTTTAATGGCATAACGAGAACTAGGAACAGCTTAAATTGTTATGCATAGCGACTTAATTTCATCAAAATCTACTTGAGTTTTCACCCCGCGACTTATTACATCGAAATGAGTTTCCATAGCAGCCTGGTCCACGGCAACGACGAACCAGCAATCCCCTCCGAGGGATTGTTCGCTGACATAAGCTCATAAACCCGCAATATTGAATATAAATGGACGGCACTGCCGGCGATGCGGAGTGCAAATGAGCCCTGTGAAACCAACCCTTAGCTCATGGGGTGACCCTAAGGTCGGCATAATAGCGTCGATCGAGGGGAAGCTCGAAAGGTCTACGATCAATTAGGTCGACCCCGAAGACAGATTCGCGCTCTTTACTCGTCACAAAACGCAATTCAAAGAGAGGGCATATCCTGCTTTGCATTTAGGGTAGTTTTTAATCCGTTGTACATTAACGTAGATTCCGAGTCATACGATTTCGCCATCGTAGGATGCTCGAAAGATACTTAGCTTACTGATTTTTATAACTCTTTCCTGATTATATAGGTATTGAACGATTTTCATAAATTTTTGTAAATAAACCTCTCTTGAAACTGTTACAGAGCGAAGTAAACGACTCTTTTAGAAACACACATACATATGCAGCAAAATATTTGTATACTCTGGCGTAGGTTTGTTTTAATTTCGAGAAAGCTTGTACTTTAATTTCAGGAAAGTGTTAAAAAATATACTGTGCGTTTATATAGTGCAGTTTTGAAAGCGACACTCACTTTTTCTCGCGCTTCCCCGCACCAGTATCTCGAAATCCTTTCGCAAAGGGGTTGTTATCGATCTTCAGCTGAGTAATCTGTGTGTGCAAACAAAATAAATAGATTTGAGTATGGATTAGAAACAAGTTTGCAAATTAAACAATATTTCGTTATAAGTTCGGATTTAACAAGCCTGCGGGCTCTCGAGCTAATATACTTTCTCGCTTTGCTTCTTATACCGAGAAGGCGCGATAATTAAGATAGGAGTGTATTAGCCGACCTACCAAAAATCTATACAAGGCCCGGTCTCTTCTTACGGCCACACGTGCGTGTGAGCGACTCATTCACTGAGAATAATGCGTACCGAGAAGACGTTATTCCACGAAATGATTCTCGCATCCATGACTTTATCAAGGCACAGGAACGCGGAGAAATATTAATTAACGGAAGGCCAGAAACCAAAACGGCCCGCTCTCTGTTAGATCGTAACGCGAGATTGTTCTCTTCTAACGAATTCTCGTCGCCACGTGTGAGCTTTACATTTCCTCTGCGATAAAGTGATGAACTTTTGACATATAAAAAAAGGTGGGATTATATTTCTGCGCGCATCAATAAATTTTACAAGATAAACAGAAAATACCGAAATATAAATTCTATGCTTGGCCTACAGGAGTTTTAGGCATTAAAAAATAATCACAAGTCTTTTGATTTCCCCGAAAAATTCTATTCTAATATTAACAAAATTAATTTGACGAAAAATCCTTTTCACGTGTGTGGATGTGTTTGAGTAATTTAAAGGTCACTTACCTTTTCATTTTGATAGGCCGTCACGGCGATGAATTCCGTCTCCTTAAAAACATAACTCCTGAACGTCGAATACGGAAGTTTCAGGATGTCATTGGCTCGCACGAGGTGAAACCTCGGCTGATACTTGTGCATCGAATTCAGTATCGTCTGCAATAAGAAAGGGATCATACATTGGGACAGATTGTTTTAGGTTAGCTTTGACAAAGAACGTTTGCAATTATTTCGCTTCGCTTATGTACTCTCAGACCAATTACTCGATGGTGCCGTCAATTATGCGGTAGATAATTTTAAAATCGAGTCAAGAGAAAATACAACGAGAAATCAAGTTTTTTTTTCCTATATTTTTTCAAATGCCTTCAAATTTTCTTTCCTTTTCGTTTCTCACGAACAATGTACGAAGCGTTCTATTTAGCATCACGTAAAAGTCGCGGAAGTCTCGGAAGTCTCGTGATTAACCATCGGCGAGCGTGGTCTGAAAGTGATCTACGGCACGGTGCAAAATTAAGAAACAAAAGTAGCGCGAGACACGAGAGAGCGATTTTGCACGAAGAAAAATATAGAGAGATACGTCAGATTAAAAAAGTGTCAAGAAGGTGTTGCCGTTAATCACACAATCAGAGAGCGTGCGTCGGCACGTTACTCTTTCTCTCGGGTTAATTAATCTTCGTGCAAGTATTTCATAAAGTTCCGTGCGAGCCAAGAAAGCATGAGCTTGGCAAAGCGGCTATTACACACTGATGCATCATGCCGAGTTGATCGATATAAAGTCCGCGAACACAATTGAGCTTTCCGAGAGAGAGCTTTTATCGTTGCTAACGATGACGATCACAGTTATTATCTTTGCACTAAAAACATGATTATATTCGTTAAAGACTTAACATTTTATTAGCACTTAGCTGATTTTATGACAGAAACAGTTACATGATATTTCGAACAAAATAGAGTATATATTTATACACAACGATACGAATTATCCCTGTTCGTAAACAAATTTGTTAAAAATTGTCGAAACGACGAACTTGCCGATTACGATAATTTATATCGATCTCATCCTGAGATTTAAAAAAAGCTCGCGCGTTACACGGCGTGTACGTCCATCGATCTTGTTGAACGGACGCGAATATGCACGTCGCTCGCGAGACTCACGTCGCGCGTCCGGAGCAAATTTGCCTGCGCTCGCGTTGCTTTTATATTACACGATCCGAACGGCTGTTGAGAATATTCCGGCACGCAAAACGAAAAGGGCAAACTCGCGCGTAGCTCGCGCACGCGTCCGTGGCATACGTGAAGGGGGAGAGAAAGAGCGAGATTAATACGTGAGCGGTAACGAGCAAATCACCGTGCGCGATCGATAACCGGAAGCCGCGTGTGTCATCGCTCGATTTCCACCGTCGAATTCACGTATAGACGGATTCTCGCATCTGCAACGGGTCAGTCCCGACCCGCATCCACCCGCTATCGGCGGCATCGGCCTAGATCGTCATTCGCATAATTTATATGGTAGTTATTCAGCGCGTACGTATGTTGCGATCGATAAGCTCCGAAACATGGCCGGCCGTATTCTGGATATCGATCGCTCTGCCGGGCGCAATCGAATTCGCTTAATAATTCAATTCGGATTCCGTAGTCCTCTGCTCTGTTATTTCGCCAAATAAAATGTACCGCGCACTTGTATTATCCGTGTGTGCCGCGATTACAGTGTCCCCTAAGCAGGAGCGAGATTGATTTCAACGTGGCGTTAAAATCGGATCACCATGCCAGAGATCGTAATGTTTCTTCACTAAACCGAGAAGAATCTTCGCGCTCGTTCGAAAGAAGTATTTATTATTTAATATCGTTTGTGGTTTGTGCATCCTTAAATCGGTCCCGATGCCTTGGGAGAAACAAGTTTTGCGAAAAATTTCAGCTGTGGAAGCTAAAATTGTATGTATTTTTAATATAAAACGTTTTACATTATTTTTATGAACTTCTTAATAAAATGTGAAATAAGATGGTACTTCGATCCAAGCTTTTGCTGATATCGTGAACAATATTATTAAAGAATTAATGCCGAGTTAGTCTAGAAACCTAGACAGACATGCCAAGAATCGTTCGCGGAAGCCCTACATTTTGTATTCTGTAATTAACAGCGAAGGCTAAATCATTATGTAATAATACGAAAGGTATAAATATCGTTTTTCAAGATAAATCAATAGAAACTGTACTGTATTTTAATCTTCCCTATAAATTTTACTTTAAGAAAAAGTTCAAAATTGTCACAAATTCATAAAAAAAAATCTATCAATTATAACAAATGCGTATAGACGTCTTATATATGTATATAATTTTATTAATATATTATAACAATAAGATGCAGTCAAGTTAAAGAAATAATTAATTTACATTTCTTATACATATTTTATAGGTTAACACATTGTCTGTCTCTCTATAAACGGATGTCGTGCTGACAGAATGAGCGAACTTTCGACGAAGGAAAAAAAAACAATCAGAAAACGCGATTTAAAAAAATACATCCTATCCTAATTTCGACGCCAGGTTGACATAGTTTTCCGTTTTCACTTTTTCCTGTATTCTTTTATGATTTCGTCATATAAACGACTGCCTTCCTTTTATGCAGATACTGTTCGGAGCATCTCGTTTCATTGCGGGAACAGCAACTAACAAGATTGCCGAGAACATAATTCTACCATTGACAAAGAACGAATGGACGTATCCTCGTTGGCTGATAAATCTGTTTATGCGTCAAATGCTTCACTCACGAAATCCGGATAATTATCGTACGCTTGAATGAGAACTTTCGCAGTCGGGAAACGTTTGAAAAGTGGATACGAATGTAACATGTCTTTTAACGAATCACAAATTGCTGTCGATAAACGGGAGAGCAAGTGAGCATGGCTAAAGAATCATGACTCTTCAAAGTAGTGGGGAGAGGGGAAGGGGGGAGGAGGGCAAATTACCACAGAAGTTTCCGAGATGCTGAGGAAAGTTCTTAATAGCGTTAAGTTGAAATTCTCGAAACTGCTTCTTAGCAATATATTGCGGCATTATACTGATACGCGTGCATGTATAGGCGAGAAAGCTCTAAAACATTTACTTTGTAAAAATTTTTCATACAATAATATCATTCAAGATAAAAACCTGTCAATCTGCTTGTACAAAAAGTTAAAAATTTATTGAAACTATAAAAATTACCTGAGAAATAAAGCTAGCTTTTATATCATAATTTTTCTGATAAAATTCTAACAATTAATATTACGTAATTCATACATTTGTGGAGATTCTGCCGTTCTTCTGAATTTGATCTCTAAATTGACTTCGCGATGATAAGACAGAAGAATTGAAAAGTTCAGAAAGACTGCGGATATTCAGGAATAACTGCGACGATTATTCGTGCAAACGAAAATTTGCATTCAACTGTGTTGATCCATATATTGGACGCGTAAATAGGGGTAAAACAGAAGTCGTCAATAGAGAGAGAAACGCACAGGGGCCAAAGGTCCACCGTGTCGATAATCACTGGAGTGCGTATAGAGCTTAAGTGAAGGGACTGATCGTAACGTACGACGTCACTCCGTCAATCCGCAGCGATAAATTCACGTTTGCTGCCACCGCATACGGTAACAAATAAAATTCGTCGACGTGCCGCTCGTGCGTGTAAATTAGTACGGCACATGTGAAGTGAAAAGAGAAAGAGAGAGGTAGAGAGAGAGAGCCCTCGCTCGTTTCTGCACGGACGCCATTATGCGCGGCGCGGTACAAAGGGGAAATAATTAGCGCTGGCCGAGTGATAAGCCGGCAATCTAGGCGTTTGTCATTAGCCTATCAAAGCAGAAAATGTTTCTCTTTTCCTTCTTTTTCTCTCTTTCCCTCGAGCCACCGTTACCGCCACTACCGCCTTTGGGTCCCCCTTCCGGTCCCTCGCGCGACGCCCCGGCAGTCCCCTCGTCACTATCTCGTTTCTCGTGGACCTTCGGCCTCGACACGCCTCTGGCGCCGTGGAAAATATGTGCGAACGCCGATCGGAGCAATTAGTATTTCTCCGGACTCTAATCTGGACTCGCTCGAGCGCGGCAAATGCGCGTCTTTCGCGGTACATTCTGCTCGTAGAATATGCCGGCAAAAGAGGGGTAAAAAGGTAAGACGGTGGTGCCAGGAGGACACGGTTCACGAGAGAAGAAAGGGGAGGAGGCTAGTATCGCGAGACAAGCCTATAGAGAGAGAAAAAGAAAGGGAAAAGGGGGCAAGAGGGAGAAAGGAGGGAATAGAAGATGGTCGGAGGACGATGGAAAGTAAGTGGTAGGATCTGAAGCGGTCCGGCATGTATATCGTGCCGCGTGAATTGACCAGCCAGATAAAACCGCACGGCGGACGAATGGACGGTGAGACGAGCAGGGGGAGAAAGCAGCATTGGGACGGTAGGGGAGGAAAGTGAGAGAATATCTTGGCCGACACAGAAGCCGACGCTGCTAATGACTCTGTCCGCGGTAATCTCCGGGTGTTATCTGTCCTGGCTACCTGGGGCCCACCTACTTCGAATCACGAACCTGCACACGCTGCTCTGCCGCCACGTCTCGCCTCTTTCTCGCGTCTCTCCTTCGCGCTCCTCTCTCCTTACCCTCTACCCCGCCGGTCGCTCATCCTTGCACCATCAGGATCACGGAATCCGAAGATCTCTTTAGGCGTGCCGCTTTTTTCAGACCCAACGCGATACATGTATCTTCAAAATATATGGATCAATAAAAAAGTTTAAGCGCTTAACAACTTATAGGCCGATTTATTCTGCGGTTTCAAAAATTTCCACGTAATAGGAATAATATTTAATATATGTATATGTAAGTTGTAAACGAAAAATAAAACCAGACAAATCGTTATATTAGAAGGAGGGAATAATTTAGCCTTCGACACATTGCACTGGTCAAACCGAGAAGATGATAGAGTGCAACAAAACCTTGCCATTGCTGTCCTCGGTCAGTTTGGTCAACTGATCGTACAGAAGAGCAAACAAATCTCTTGGGTTTGAAAGGGACTACTTCAGCGAGAGACTAAAAATAAGGAGTCCACCATCAAAGTATTGACAATGATACGGCAAAATTTCCTCGTCGCAGTGAGGAAGTAAAGGTGGAGAGTAGAATGTGCTTCGACACAAA